TTTTTTTTTTTTTTTAATAATGAAGTCAAGGGTGTTGTAGAGGCCTGTTACTACCCTAGGCTCACATTGATCGCCGGAAGCTGTCAGCCATGGTTGGCCTGAAGAGTCGAGGGGCTACCTCTCCTCCCATCCCATCCCCCATCCTCGCGTCAATACTCCTAGCGCACCCCCCCCAATTCCTCTTCTTGACTCACCGACACGAGATCTTGAGCTGTCCTCTTTAAGTGCCACCGACACGAGATCTTGAGCTGTCCTCTTTCAGTGCCACGGCCCTTTGGTTCCTATGCTCAAGCACTTTTTTTTTTTTTTTTTTTTTTTTTTGGATCTGCCTTTTAGTGATGCGCCTGCAGAGTACCGCTCATAACCAAGCCCCCCCATACTGTCTACTGACCGTACCGTGCTGTGCTAGGCTGGGGAGCAGGTAGGTGGGATAATCATATACTCGCACCAGGTCAGCAATTGGAGGAGAGGATGAGAGAGGGTAGACCGGAATGGAACCCACCACCTCTCCCTTCCCACAGAATATACTCTCTACTGACAGTAGTGTGCTAGGGTGGGGAGCAAGTAGACGGGATATCATGCTAACAGCTAGGCTACCAGCCGGTCCGCCCGGGTCCCGGGTGTCCAGCCCGTGCAAGGACCAAGGAAGATACCAGCAAAAAAAATAAATAAAAAAATCCAAAAAATCCGAAAAAAAACTATGTTAGGCAGAAAAATAAACTGAACAACTTTTGCCTCAGGGTCACATCGAAATTCTTCACCAAATTTAGAATAAAAAATAAAATTTAAAAATAATTCTTTTATTTTTATTATTTTTATTTTTTTTGGCCCGGCCGGGCAAGTGACCCCGGGCCACTCTGGTAGCCTAGGCTAACACCAACTCAGCTTGCGCAGGAGAGGATGAGTGAGGGGCGACCGGAGTCGAACCCACCACCTCTCCCTCTCCCTACACCAGAGGTCTCACCAACTGAGCAGCAATCCTAATAATCAGTCCATGATCCTCATTACCCCTGATTTGCTGATTGGCTGATGATTGATTGATGGATTTCTTTGCCCCCGTGTTTTTTTCGGTGGCCCAGTGTGGGAATGAATTACAATTAAAAATTGAGAATTAATTTGGGAAAAAAAAGAAAAAAAAAAGGAAAGAGACAAAAGTTCTGTCTAAAAGATCAGCCAAGGGTAGGGGATTAGATCAAGACCTGGAAATAATAATAAAAAAGATAACCGGAGGGGGAAAAAAGCATCTTGCAGCGGTTTTGGTGCTGCCGTGGTCCCTTTTTTCTGGTTTTTTTTTTTTTTTTTTTTTGCTGTCCCTTTTTTCTGTTTCTGACATTTTGGTCCCTCCTGTCTGCTCCCTTTCTCTTTTTTCTCGGCCCCCGGGGCTACCGTCTTCCCCCGAACACAACGCATCCTCATTTTGGCGGTATCTGGCCGGAAATATAGCTTGTATACATTCATTTTTAGGGTGCGTTATGTTCGGGGGAAGACGGCAGGTCCCACTTGCACGAATTAAGAGATACTGACCGTAGATGGCAAAGATCAACGGCCGATATCTCCTAATCCGTGCAAGTGGGACCTTGCCTCCGTTGGCGACTTCTACGACTAAGCAGTGGCTCATGTGGTTTGCATGCCTGAGTTGCACGGGATAGGTGCTGGGTTCAAGACCCACAGGCCTCACTCTCCTGCCAGAAAATGAATGTGGTCAAGGTGCCGTGCCAGGTTGCTGTGCCGGCCTGTAACCCATATATATTGCTTGTTGCCCCCTCTTTTGTTGTATTTGGCTGTTCCCTTCCTCTTTTCTTTGCCTCTTTGCCCTTTGGCTGTGTGCAAGTGGGTCGATATGACACACGGGGAGGGGGGGCAGCTGCCGCTCAACCCTCCTCCACGTGGGCGGCTTTGTACGCAAGAGGTTCTGAACAGGGGGAGTTGTAAGAAAGAAGATAAAAAAAGGAATTATTTTTTTTTTTGTTTTCTTCTGTTTTTCTTTCCTTTCGCCTTTGCGCTCTGATATTCATGTGACGATATATATAGCTTGTGCGAGCGTGCGCTGGTCGACATACGCTGGGCTGGCCAGAACCAGGGGATGCTTTTTTTTTTTTTTTTTTTTAATTCTAAGTAAGCTATGCATGTGTACACGCTGATGCGTCTTTGAAATATACTGATTTGCGTGTAAAAGGCAATTGGCCATTGCTTGTCTTCTATCTTAAGCTATGTTCTTCTCTCATCTATCTCATCTTCTTGCCAGTACTCATCTACTATCTCATCACGGTCTGTGAACTGATCTAGTCTACCGAGAATGTGGTCATGTTGGTGAACTGATCTCTAAGCTGTGTACTAGTCTAGCGATAAGCAGGGGATGCTGATCAGACTGCCTCACGGTCTGTGAACTGTGAATGTGGTCATGTTGGTGGGTTCAAGACCCGCTCAGGTTGCATGACGAGCCATTTGAAGGTGGTGGGTGGTGGGGAGGATCTAAGAATTCTGTAGGGAAAAAAAAAAAAGGGAAAAAAAAGAGGATTCTGTAGGTTGAATTCTAGACAGAGGTCTCAGAGAACCAATCTAAAAAAGAATAAAAAAGAAAAAAAAAAGGAAAAAAAAAGAGGATTCTGTAGGTTGAATTCTAGACAGAGACTCAGAGAACCAATCTATCTTCTGACGACCATAAAAAATAAAAATAATAAAAATAAAATAACGAAAATGTGGCTGGCTCGGCTTATCGGACGGTAGGATGGCTGGGTGCAGCAGGTAGGTCCTAGTGGGCGACATTTTGGAATTTAATTAATTTTTCACGAATAATACATTCTCATTTACAAATCAATAAATGAATATAGAATTTGTGAATAAGCAATTAATTAATTAATTCTTCACAAATAATATTATTATTTACGAATCAATGAATAAAGATATTATTTGTGAATAAGGGGGTAAGGCGAAAAGAAGCTGGGATGTGCTGGTGGTTCGTGTATGATCCCTTAGATTTGAGCATTTGTGCAATGATGGCTTTTACAGGAAAAAGGGGGTATCCGAGGGATCGAATCCCACTGCCCGTGCCTGCATTAGCGGAGCTCCCTATAGCCAACAATCTCAGCTATATATCCAGATAAGTGAGGCGAGCAGCATGCACAGGGGGTGATAAGTGAGGCGGAGCAGCATGCACAGGGGGTGATAAGTGAGGCGAGCAGCATGCAGATGGTGTGAACGTGGGGTGAGGGCCACTGAACCCTGTCACTTCCTGAATGGGCCGTCAATACCAAACTGAATGTGAGCTGACAGGTAAGCCCCTCGGGGCGGAAGTGGTTTTTCACACCCTTTCCCTGCCGATCCCCACACTATAAAAATCGCCAGTGTAAGCCGATGTAAGAAATCTCCGTGGCGTTTCACAAATGTGACAAAGTCTTCAATGGGGGCCATGGTGTCCCACCGGGCCGACCACCCGGGTCTGCGTGTGATGATCGCGCTCTGATACAGGCTTACCGGCCAGACTCGAAGTATGCGAGTTCTTTCTCTTGAGCTCTGTGGGGTGCCATGAGAGAGAGAGAGAGAGAGAGAGAGAGAGAGAGAGAGAGAGAGAGAGAGAGAGAGAGAGAGAGAGAGAGAGAGA